ACTCTTGAGGAACTTCTAGAAGAAAAACTGGTTCCTAATCGCAGAGGCTCATGCGACGAACTCAAGATTGAGGTCTATTTATGCTTCCGTGAGCACATTTTGAAATGAAGGGTGAAAGAGAATTCGGCCGAAGACCGCGAACACGATATATTACCACACGGTATCGCGGTGGGACAACATTTTCCGCATTACCGTATCTTATATATCTGTTTCAGTAGACATCTAACTTATAGCNAATTGTTAGCTGTTATTTGCAGCAGGCATGCATCTTTAAGCAGCACAGATTTTTTCCTTCAGACTCTTGAGGAACTTCTAGAAGAAAAACTGGTTCCTAATCGCAGAGGCTCATGCGACGAACTCAAGATTGAGGTCTAAGTACATTTTGAAAAAAAGTTTGCAGGAGAATTTGGCAGAAGATCGCGACCACGATATATTACCACATGGTATCGTGGTTATGACAACAACTTCCACATGACCGTATGTTGTATATCGTGTTTCACTAGACAACTAACTTATAGCTGATAACGGAGGTCTACTTTTTGAATTGAAATGAAGTAGGCGACTTTATGCTCCTCCTTGTCCTCATCTCCTTCCCCACTCTTCTGACTTAGTCACACCATCAAAATAAGGGACAGATGAGTATTTCCATTTATTTCCTCAATTGGTAGGCATGAGTTGAGGCTGAAAAGAGTGAGTTAATGGATGAGGATAGTGCTAAGAAATGGGATATGAGGGAATTCTTCACCAAAGATACTGCTTTCTCCGACATGGGCAAGAAAGCTTTGGCTTTGAATCGCCAATCTTCATAAAAGCCTATCGGGTTCGGTGAAGCAAAAAGAACAAGCAACCTTTTGTTGAAACTAATGGACGTGCACTGCCGAACTATGCCAAGAAGGAAGTAAAATGGGACGGGATTCATAGTTGTATGAAGCTGCGCTGAGAGAAAGAGTGAGTTCATGCCTGTAATCCCTTCGCTTCCAATGTACAGTTGAAGAGAATACATTGATGCTCAAAATCAACCATGATACACCAAAGAGCACTGGTTGCTCTCGATACCAAAGTTCCAAATGCATCAATCGAGTTTTTGCCAAATTGGAAATCGCTAATTGCCGGTAAATAATTTCTTGAGATAATAACTATTACATTGATGAATATGCTAGAGAGCCAAGGAAAAGATAACAGAAAACGGTAAATCCTAAAATTGCCAGCAAGACTTGGATTCTTCTTCGGGAACTTGATTTCAGGTGTTCGACGGAGTAAGTCAAGAAAGGATGGGCTGTCCCATTCATTGAGAACCTTCCTTCAATCTAATGGAATTGAAAAATTGCTGAAATAAAGGGAGTGGAGCTGATTTATGAACAGGCGCAACCAGGGGTGACCTCCACCTACTCCTTCATCCGTAAATCACGAAAAATTGAACTTGGAAGGAAAAGGTCCGACCTCGAGAAACGTAGACAGGGTATGTCGTGGTGAGCAAAGATGAGCCAAGAAACTCCATTGAGACTCTAATCTGTCGCGTTGTTTTCAGAACTTGAAAGACAAACGACGTTGTTTTCGTTGCGGTTACAGAAGATGTCATCTAATATGGTAGTTTAAATTTATGATTAGAATGGTCATGTTGTTTGGTTCTTCCAGAAATCCGAACGAACAGTAAACCAATAAACTAGGGGACAAACAACAGAGAAACTTCATTCGCTGCGCTACACATAGCTTCTTCTAGGTATACTCAAAGCTTTTTGTTTACGAGAAGGATTTTAGAGACTTCCATGCCCACGATTTGTCATCTCAGATAAAGTCAAAAAGGTCTGCATAGGTTGTAATCTGGGCAAAATCCAAAATATAGCAGTTATGAGAATTATCCACATTAGAATGAAGTTTTGCACAGGAGTTTTGCATCTGAAGCTTAGTTTCAAGTCAAACTTGAAACCTTCTTGATTCACAGCAACAACCAAAAGTTCTAGAACCATTCCATAGAAGATTAAGAGAATAGCAAAGCTCGAGAAGTTAAAAGCTAAATGTCATGTTGCTGCGACTGAAATTTTGCCATTCCAGAAGGGATGTGCCCATACTGGCTAGCAGCAACGGTTCGAAACCACTTTGACACTATACACTTTCAAAACTCCTCAACAATCTTCTGTTTTTAGCCCTCGCTTGTATTTTTTTCTAATCAGGCAGATGCGATAAGGGTGGTCACGCATGGTCCGGTGATGGAATTCGGGACCGGCATTCGCCCAGTCCAAGCGAGCTTTTCATTGTTCTTGGGCTGGTAAACTGGCGCCAGACCCGTCTGGGAGGATGAAAGCTCTGACATGTTCGTAGGCGGACTACCGCAACTCATTGTATAGGGCATAAACGCATTCGAAACACCCTATGATTTCGAGTGAAGATGGAATGGGCGTTCAAGTTGTTGCAGTGCAACTTTCTTTTTGTATCTGCTTGGGAGTTCTATTATGATTCACGGCTTCCTTCCAGAATCCGTAAAAACGATCTTAGAGTGGATATGGGCATAGTTGTGATGTTATATATACATTTGAACCACGATATTTGTTTGTCCTCCTCTATATTGCACCCCCTTTCGGGCTACATTCATTTTTATACCGTGCAATTCACATATATCCGTTCTAGGAGGCTCGTGCAATGAAATTTTTGGAGATAGCGGAGCTAGGCAGACAAGCGCACAAGTCTGATGTCGGCTTTAGTCGAAGAATAGCAAGTTCTGGAAAAAAAAATTGAGAAATCCCGAAGCAAATTCCGATTTTGCTTGCCATCAGAGAGGATTCCCATCTTTCAGCACTGAAACATATAGGGAATTTCTGACCTGTCGTCATCCAAGGAGTCATTCAAAGGGTCATCCACTGCTACTGCTCTAAATGGATCTCGATATCTCTTCAAGATCTACCTAAGCCTGAAAACTGGCAGGACGTCGCCTTTAGGCTCAACTGGAGAGGAATGAGTGACAGATTTTAAATGTTTAGCAGTCTGGACATCGCTGATGCTCACAGCATGAAACAAAGTGGAAGCGCCACGACCTTTCTTCCATATTTTGTAAGGATGGAGTGCCTGCATAATTAAGATGTCTAGCCATCTCAACTGTCTGAAGACCGAAAGGTCAAAGAGATAAAATTTGGCAGTTGTGTTTTCCAACAACAATTTTGACATGTTTGGATGTAACTCAGCAATCGGAGTACTAAGCTTGCGACCCATCATGTAAATACGATGTTTTGAAATTTTATGAACATGAGTGACATCTAAATCACAAGCTAATTCCCAAGAGAAATAGGGATGGCAAAGTGCTGAAAATCGGCCAAAAATAGCAGGAACTCCTTTGACATTGTTTTTTCACTGGCAAATTTGATAGTATAAGATTGCTGAAAAAGCCTTCAGTGGAGTCGCCTTCACGACTTTCCTAAGCGGGGGCTGGGGATACGTTCGAAAAGAAAAGTCGAGCGAACCAGAACCCTATAATCCTGGACCCGTGGTCGGCGATATTTCTTGAGACACGTGTAAATGTTACCAGTACGATGGCCGAGATTTTTTCGCTCTTTTTGACTGGGATTCCCTACTACGCTGAATATTTTTCGTGGTTTTGATGTCATTTGAAGGTCCTCAATTGTGCGGAAGTTTCTGAAAAATAACATTTTCATGGGCGGAGGTGGTATAGTGGTAAGTGGTGCACTTCACACATGCACGGTCAACGGTTTTGAATTACAGATAGATATCCGTCTAGGCCAACCAAGCATTCCTTCCCTTCGAGGTCGGTGAACTGGCACCAGGCGTCTGGGAGAATAAAAGCACTGACTTTTGTGTCATCTGGCCTCTGCAAGTCATTGTACAGGCCACATACGCACTCATTATGCCACTTCGATTCTGAATGAAAGTCGGTGCGGGGACGCATCCCTCAGACGGGATGACGGGATTGATTAACGCCAAAAACTTTAGACTTCAGGTCTTTGACGCTTATATATTTGTTTAACTATGGGCTTTTAAAGATGAGTACAAAACATTCTGTATGAACGATTTCCAAAGTTTCTCTCCGAACCAACGGTGACGGCTGAAGAGAGAGGGCTACTACAGTGTTATTTACTGAACTCCTCTCGGCCTACTGCCTATTAAAATTCTTTCCTACCTCACACTGCATAACTCCAGTAGGAAATTTCCTCTGCTCTATGGACCGCCTTGGAAATATGCTGTAAGTTTTTCTTGCAACCACCACCCCTGCTAGAGCACCTTCCGGCTACTGAGAGTTGGCTATGGAAAAGGCAATGGCCGGAGCAGTAAAAACCACAGCAGTGAAACCAGATAGCCAAGCTAGAAGGCCTAAAATTGATTCCGCAGTGGGACTACGTAGTATGTACCTCTATACATACTTATTAAACGGCTACAAAGGTGTCGTGCCGTTTTCGTGAGCTCAATGTCGGTGAGGTCTAGCGCCAATTTATCCGTTAAGTGTTAAGGGACAGCTTTGAGAGAATATTGCGAGACAAAAGAGCTTTTCCGGACTTTCTGTGTTTTAGAACTATTGCAGGATGGAGAAAGTCCGTTGCGCGCGTCCGTTGAAAGTAGGTCACCCCGCCCACTTTGCGCGCGGCGCATCCCACTGATGTCTCGATATGACATTACAGATTCACCAAGTGCCAGTGGAACGATTTGCATTTCTCCGTGTTATCTCCTCTTTGAGCTGACTGACGTGGATCAAGTGCAAATCGTATGCCCCAGTGACAATTGCGACGTCCGCCAAGTATCGCGGGCTGACCCGCCGCATGCGACGGCTGCGGCATGACCTAGTTTCGAAGAACGCGCGCAACGAAGCGCACCCGATACCGGTGTTATTTATTTTTCTAAAATAGCGAAATACTTTATTTTGATGTCCTGTATTTGGTGGCTGAGTTAATTCTGAGAATAAAAACCTAATCGGTTTCAGAGTCATTCCAGTAAATGTTTATGAGACAATTCTTTATCAAATGTAAATATGTTTGTTGGAGTATTCGTGAATTTGAAAACTATTTGTCGCCACTATGGCTTTGTCTGATTAAATCACGGTTTTTATCTTCATCTTGCGATTTTTTACCACGAGCTCCTATATCATGCGGTGGAGTAGTTGAAACGTCCTCTACGTCTCTTATACTGTCAACTCCCTTGAGGGTATCCGAGTCCTCGTCGGCGTCATCGTCTCCTGACTGTTGAAGTGAAGGCTTTTTCCTGTCTGCTTCGAGTGATGCTGCCTTCTCCGCTTTGTTCTCGACTTCTTTCTTCTCAGCTTTTGGAACTTCTTTCAGCTCTAACCGACGTCGACTCCTTCTAATACTTCGATTAGTCCTTCTAATACTTCGTTTACTCCTCATACTCCGTTTTCGTGACCCGCTAAATAAGGAACACATTCATGCGATGAAGCAGTCTATCGATCTTATAGTAATACAAATTTTATTATCTCCTACTTATATAGTCGGCTAGGTGTACCTGTTGGGGAGTTTGTGTTTGTGTTTGTATTTGTATGTATGTTTATGTGTGTATATAGTATATGTGTCTGACCGGAAGCTCATGACTCGTGCCCCACTGAACCTAGAGCATTCAAATTTGGTAGGAATGCAGTCGGCAGGATAGGAAAACTTACCATAAGTTAAAGGATGGACTCCGCCTAAAAGGGGAGGTTTTTAAGCAAAATAAATGTTTGAGAGGAAACTCGTAACTCCTGTTCCCGTGGACCTAGAGCTTTCAAATTCGGGTTCGGGAGTACAGGAGACAGTATGTGAGCACATATGGTAGGTAGTACGACCAGACCAGTACAGGAGACAGCATGGGAACTTTTGTGGTAGGTGGTGGCATGACCAATCTCCGCCCACGGGAGCGTATTCGACGATCCGACAAGTATAGATTACTTGCTGAACGCATTTTTCTGTATATACGAATAGCTAAGGAGCATGTGGTTATCAGTATTTCTGACATGAGAGCATTTGATTCTAATAGCCGGGTATGCACGGGAGACGGACGTTAGGAACCATTTTGGGTAATCGATTTGTCGTACGCGGCTGTCGCGGACCACTCATTCGCCGTTATTACAGTTCTAGCGTTCTTCATACAGCTCAATCGATATGTGATCATTATTTTATGCATAATTCTACTATCAGCACTTTCTTCTTGTATTTCTTACCTACTGCTGCTTCCCGCTACATTTCTTCGCGCGCGACGCCTCTCTTACCGCGACGCGACCATTTCGTTCCTAACGCACCACATCCGGGTATGCGCGGACTTTCATCTTTAATAGGGGCGAGATTTTTCACTTGGTATTTCACAGGATGAAAAGAGTTGGCCAACCGATTTGTAGTGCCTTTAGCCATCAGGATTCGGAATAAAGAGGTAAAATACCATATACAGATATATTTTGAGCAGTGACCTTCTTAATAGATGAAATTACACTAGCGTTCCACTTGCAGAAGTGACAACCTCTTTACAGTTTCCTTTAAAGTTTGAGAACAATTGCCTACCTTCTACGGCTTTTTCTTGAACTGGATCTTCCTGATCTCCTTGATCTTTTTTTCTTTGACAGTTTATGACTGATTCTTTGAGATTTATGACTCTAAATAATACAACGTATTCAAACCTTGATCAAACATTTGATCGAATGCCTATCATTGTCTACTTACCCTTAATTCTCCGTTCCTCTTAGAGTTACGGAGAGAGGGTTTTGAGGATGGAAAGCGTCTCGGAAGTGAAGGTCCTTTTCGAATGGGATTTGGCTGCAAATTA